AACTCACAGTGACCCCTTCTAGCGTTCCAAGACAGTAAATTTTTACAGAAGTAGATTGCCCAGTCTTCCTTCCACACAGTGAGTGGCTGGTGGGTTTCAACTGCCAGCCTTTGGTTAGCAGTCAAATGCCTCAGGCACTACGCTACCAGAGCTCCTTTTACCTTGCACTGGGCCCTGCAAATTAGGAAGTGGGTCCTGTGAATGTTAAATACCTCATTTGAATCTCTGGAAAAAAACAAATTACATAAAGTAAGCAGCTAAGATATTGTAATCCTTGTTAAAAAAAAAAAAAAAAAAAGACTTTAACTGCTATAAATCCTAGGTATAGATGGTTGAACAGGGATTAATGATCTTCCTCTTGAGATTATAAAGATAAACAGAAACCAAGTTAGGAAACAGGTTATTTCTTTGTGGCATTACTTTGCTACAATAACCTCTTAGAGGATTTATGGACAGATAAATATTCACATGTAAAAACATTTTACACCCAGACAACCCTGTTACCTGCAACAAATCCAACTACTAGATCCTTTCCAGTAGTAGAACGTTGACCTTTGACCCAGACTGCTTTGAGGCTATTAAAAGTGTAGAAATAGACAAAGTTGGAGCAGCAGAGGCTGGAGATCACTGGAAACCACCCTCGATATGGCGCCAGGCTAGGGGAAAAACATAATAAGCATAATCAAGGTCCAGCACAAAAGGCTCAGAAATGGGCACAGAAAGTGCTAGGAAGTCATCACTCGCATATTGTCAAGGCTCACGTCTATCCTACAGTGGACCCGACAATAAACATACCTTGCATTCTCAAGGATGTCCAAATCAAGAAGCCTTATCCAGCGTTAGGGATACCAAAGAAACAATACAAAGTCATAATACTATTTGCCCCCAAATTCCTTTAGTAAAACTGGAGATAATTTTTCCATGCCGTTCATTAATATACCACCATTCATGTTTTACTACAGAGTCAGAATACTTAAGAGGAAGTAAATATTGAAAAGAAATGTAAGAAAAAAAGAGATTGGGGGTGTGTCAGAAGGGCATAAATAAGAACCAGCCTGAAGGGGCTCCCACTGGCCGAACCCAGCACAATTCGAGCATCAAAACAGTTAAGCACAGTAACCCAGTGTGAGTATGGTATGCGGTGAGCACCTGACCTTCCTAGAAGAAAGATGGGACGAGGTGGTACTCACAGGCCTTCTTCTCTAATGATCTCCAGAAGCACCGCGTGTGTAGTTTTGGACTTTCTTTTCTCATCAACTACAAGAGCAAAGAGTACACATGAGAACAAAACCCCTTCAGTGTGACCACCTTCAGCATCAGCAAGTTTCATGGAAATGCTATTTACCTCCCCTAGTCATTCACCTCCCTAATTTGCCTTAGAACTGAATGTGCCCCTGCACAGCCATGTGCCAACTTTCCAACCATAGATTCCTTGGGTTCCATCTGGCATCCATTAACCATATAGCATTTTAATCCAACTCCTAATTTCTAAAGATGTAACAGGGGAAATATATTTCTTATATTGCATAAGATTTTTTTTCAAAGTAATTTTAAATATATTTTTATTTTTATCTAAATACCCTATAAATGAGAGAGGAAAGAAATGACCATCCCCCTTTTACAGAAAAGGCTACAGACACAGCTCTAAAGGCTAAGTGCTGGCTGGCAGCAAAGGCAGGAGTGAAATTCAAGTTCATAAGTTTCAGCTTTGTGTTCTGTCTCCCAAGCTAAAATACAGAAGGTCTCAAAAGGATAAGAACTCTGTTCTTGCCAGCACTCACACTAAACATGAAACCCACCACAACTCGTTTAAAATTTCCTGCCCACAATTGAAAAATACTTTGAGATCATAAAAGTGTGGAAATTAACCAACTTCCTCTTAATTAAAATTGCTACAAGTATTGCTTGTGAGAAGTCAAATTAGTAAACCCCCACAGAAGGCAACTGTTGTTGTTGTTCTTATGTGTGGTGGAGTTGGACCCAACTCATAGCGACCCCTCCTTGGGTTTCCGAGCGGGTACCACTACAGAAGTAGATTGCCCAGCCTCCCTTCTGAGGAGTGGCTGACAGGTTTGAACCACCAGCCTTCTGGTTAGCAGTCAAGTGCCTTAAGGCACTACGCTACCAGAGCTCCTGTAGAAGGCAATTATAACGATCAAAATGAGAAACACATTCGCCCTTTGATCCAGCAATCCCATTTTGTGGAATGCATTCCACAGAACTTCTAGAAACAAAGTGACATATGAACAAGGCTAGTCTTACATCCTTGTTTGTAACAGCAAAAGAGTGGAAGTGACCCAAGAATCTACAAGCAGGTTATGGTGCATCTACACTAGCTCTGTATTTTTAATTGCCTCATATGCATGTGACAGCTGGACAACGAATAAGGAAGACTGAAGAAGAGTTGATGCTTTTGAGTCGTGGTGCTGGCAAAGGATACTTAAGTACCATGGACTGCTAAAAGAACTAACAAATCCGTCCTGGAGGAGGTGCAGCCTGAATGCTCCTTGGAAGTGAGAATGGCCATTTTGTTTGACCTACTTTGGTCATGTTGTCAGAAGGGACCATTTCTTGGAGGATATCATGCTTGGTAAAGTGTCGTTGTTATTTGCTGTCGAGTCGGCCCCGACTCATAGCGACCCCTCCTTGGGTTTCCGAGGCAGTATCACTACGGAAGTAGGATTGCCCAACCTTCCTTCCGAGGAGTGGCTGGTGGGTTTCCACCAGCCTTCTGATTAGCAATCAAGTGCCTTAGGCACTATGCTACCAGAGCTCCTTGGTAAAGTAGAGGGTCAACAAAAAAGGGGAAGGCCCTCAATGGGATGGACTGACATAGTGGCTGCAATGATGGGCTCATGTATAGCAAGGATTGTGAGGCAGACACAGGACTGGGCAGTGTTTCGATCCATAGGCCATAAGGTCGCTATGAGTTGGAGCTGACTCGATGGCACCTAACAACAACCCACTAGCTCTGTGGCTTTAAGAACAAGGAAGCTCCCAAGGAGCTGACTGAGAACACAATAAAACATAAAAATGAAAAATACAAGGCACAGAGCAGTGTGTGAGGGATGCTTTTTGTGTAAGCAAGAAAATTAAGAATATGTATTTTTATTTGCTTATAATTCCATAAAGAAACTCTGCAAGGCTATTTGAGAAGCTAATGAAGACATCACCTGCAGAGAAGGAATGTGGGAAGGGACACGTGAGACTGCGCCTCTTCACTGTACCTTTCACGTATGCATTTTCATTTTGAATCATGTTAAAGCATTACCTATCCAAAATTATCAGAATTAATCTACAATAGTAGACATGAGGGTTTTAACGTAGGAATTCATTTATTCAGAACTGATCTTAATGTCTTCACGTAAGCGTTCGTACAGATTTTAATTTCAAGTTGAAAAACACCAGGGAAAAAAACAAACAAGAATTAGAGAGAGTTGCATAAAGGTAAAGAGGCCAGTAAGGACTCATGCCTGGATTGACCATGAGACATTCCATTTCATCCGGATTAGCAAAGACAGTGGGTATCGGCTCTACTGTGCTTCCCACCTCGACATACGAGGGTATGGGTTAGAATCGACTCCATGGCAATGGGGGTGGTGTGTGTGTGTATATGGGGGGATGGCAATGGCGGCAGGGGTGGGGATGTTTCCTACAGAGTTCCTGAGGGGTGCAAACAGTCAACACACTTGGCTGCTAACCAAATGGTCGGAGGTTTGAGTCCACCCAGAGGCACCTCAAAGAAAGGCCTGGCAATCCACTTCTGAACCATCAGCTGCTAGAAATCCTACGGAGGACAGTTCTGCTCGGACACATATGCAAGCACCGTGAACTGGAATCAACTCAAGGGCAAGTGCTGTGTTAAAAACAATGTTTCCTGGTCTCCCTTTTCAAAAACACCACCAACAAAAAGAACACCCCCCAAACTCTCCAGTTTGTGCATAAAAAGAAGGTCACATGGCTTATTAGAAAGAACTGTAAGGATTCAAAATCATCAATGCAACTCACTCAGGTTCTCTCACATTAGAAAATGGTGGAGGCCATGACTCATCCATGAACGATTCTCTGGTAATCAGGAAACACCAGTGACGACTAATTAATAATTAAAGTCAGCAAAATCTGGCAACAGGAGAGCTCTAAAGACATAGAATATCCTTACACAAAGATAGCATTTAATAGAAAACCATGCTAGCTTCCTGACACCTAGTAAATGGGAAGATGATCACTACAAAAGATAACTACTTACCCTGCAGTCGAAGTCTAGCTGTGTCCAAAGGAAAAAATACCGTCATTGCTGTCACACTTCCCTGAAAAGTTAAAAAAGCCTTTAGCCATTACCATACCACAAAAATAATGAGTCACAACTTTTAAATGGTATTAACATTGTATCAAATCAGATCTTCAGTGAACAAACACAATGTTTTAACCTACTGAGATTACTACGGTTCAAAAAGTCTATAGTTATGTACCTCAACAGAAGTATTTCATTTCCTGGGGGTGGGGGAGTAGTCTGATTTGGAAAAGAAAAGGTACAGGTCACTGGAAATGTCTAATTTAGGTGTTTGCAACTTATGGCACGTATCAAAGATAGCAGGACAGAGACGGCAGAGCGCAGCAAAACCAAGAGACCAGCATGAGACAGGTGGTGGGCCTACCTGTGAAACAAGAAGGCTGAGTGCCCTCAGGCAGGAGGACTGATGGAGCAGTGGGGTGCCTTTCTGAGTATGGCAAAGCTGAAAGAGCTTTCTAACAGTAGCCCAAGCAGGGCAGAGGCAGACCAGAGAGAAGGGTGTGTGGCATGGCTGAGATTAAACTGTCCTGTCTGAAGAACTGTATTCTGAGTTTTTTCTGATCCCAATTGTAACCTGTTACTTTCCTAATAAACTCCGTAATTGTGAGTATTGTCTGCGAGTTCTGTGTGGCCACTGCAACAAATTACTGGACCCAGCAGAGAAGGAGAGAGTGCCGTTGGGAGGGATAGTAGGTGTCAGAATTGGTAAAAAGCTTGGAGGGTGGCGGCAGGTCTGACCTCTGCCTCCCAGGAATAAGCCTTGGGCTGCTGCTATGTTCTGGACCTCGTTTCCCTGTGTGAAGTTAGAAGTCAGACCCATGCCCTTTTGGCAGCAGGTATGTGGATTTTCATCTTTTGGATCAGCTGCTACTAACATGGTCACTCAGAAATCCAACTATCCAGTAACGAGAAACAGATACCTACTTCTACTCCCTGTGCTTAATATTAATATATTTACTCCAAAACGAAAGGGCATGTAATAATCATATTGTTGTCAAAAAGTTTTATTCATTTATTTTTTAAATGAAATAGGGACAATGTCTTTGCCAAAAAGTCTATGAAAACTTCATCCAATATAATATAGTGACAAACAAAAAAATACCAGGCGTGGGGGGGAAGAGAACAACTCAACCAGTCTGCATTCATGACTCCATGACAGATAAAAACCGAAAAAAACATACATTTCAGGGATGAAATTCTATGCATGAAACCTCCAGCTGGGTTTAAGGCTCTCAAGCCAGAGGCAGGTCCACAGGGATATATTCTCAGCATCAGATTACTTTTAGGCTACTGATCTCATAATGGATACAATGTTTTAACCCTAACAACAACTGTGAAAGAGGTCAATTTTAGACAAGCACAAAAATTGCTAGGCCTCTTACAGACTTAAACAGGTCAGCCTGTTTGACAAGGGAGAACACTGTATTTACTGTATTATTAGTGTTCTTCAAAACTCAGATTAGATGTCACCTCTGTCACCCATCAGTTTGCAACTTCCTCTGTTTGTTCATTCCTCTGTTACCAGCACATTGGTTTTCTCTCCCTTACAGCATTGTGGTGAAAAGATTTCTTTTAGGGGGCCTTTTGCCGTGTTTCTTTGGGAAAACAGCTTGAGAGATTTTTCCCTGAAACCTTGAGGAGTTATATTTGCCCTCCCTTTCTACCTTAGAGAGTTTGTTACTGTTTGTCCCATTCCCTAAGTAAGCTGTAAATAATATGACAGCTTGATACTTTTTGTCTGACTCTGGGCAGCAGCCTGTCCTGTGATTGCTCTATTTAACATAACTTTACAGGGGCTGGTCAATATTCTACAAACTATGCAAATGAAGTGCCTATGGCACACCAAGGGGATTGGTCAGTTTGCAGTTCTGCTGGAGGGTCATGCCTCGACCTTGACAAGGAGTTTGTTTATACATGGAGCCAACCCCACAGAGGTTCTGGGTTATTGTTGTTAGATGCCGTCGAGTTGTCTCTGACTCAAAGCAACCCTATGCACAGCAGAATGAAATATCGCCTGGTCCTGTGTCAGCTCCATGATCCTTGCTATACTTGAGCCCATCGCTGCTGCCACTGTGTCAATCCATCTCATTGAGGGCCTTCCCCTCTTTTGTTGACCCTCCACTTTACCAAGCGTGACATCCTTCTCCAGGGAATGGTCCCTCTGACAACATGACCAAAGTAGGTGAGACGTAAGTCTGGCCATTCTCGCTTCCAGGGAGCACTCTGGCTCCACTTCTTCCAGGATAAATTTGTTAAGTTCTTTTAGCAGTCCATGGTACTTTCAGCATTCTTCACCAACATCACAACTCAAAAGGATTGACTCTTCTTTGGTCTTCCTTACTCATTGTCCAGCTCTCACATGCATATGAGGTGATTGAAAATACCATGGCTTGTGTCAGGCGCACCTCAGTCCTCAAGGAGACATCTTTGCTCTTCAGCACTTGATAGAGGTCCTTTGCAGCCAACCTGCCCCAGTGCTATATGTCATCTGATGTCCTGACTGCTGCTTCCATTGGCGTTGATTGTAGAACCAAGCAATGTGAAGTCTCTGACAACTTCAATCTTTTCTCCATTTATTATGAAGCTGCTTATAGGTCCAGTTGTGATGACTTTTGTTTTCTTTATATTGAGGTATAATCCATACTGCAGACGTCAATCTTCATCAGTAAGTGCTTCAAGTCATCCTCACTTTCAGCAAGCAAAGCTGTGTTGTCAGCATGTATCACAGGTTGTTAATGATTCTTCCTCTCATCCTGATGCCACATTCTTCTTCCTATCATCCAGCTTCTCAGATTATTTGCTTAGTGCAGTGTAGTAAATTACTTTGTGTGGCTTTTCTACCCATAAATCTTTGTAAACTCCAAGGTGGGATTTTCTATGAGCAACTGAGGAGCTCCTGATTGCTGAAGGTGTCCACCTGGAGTATTTCTGTTGGGAGTGGCACAAAACAATGTTCTGGGAGGTGCCCACTCTCTCTCAGGTGCTTAGAGTTCTGATGCTATAATTGGCTAGTTTGACCACCCTGCCAGGCTCAAAAGGAGGTCTCCTAGAGGCAGAACT